AGATAGATAGATAGATAGATAGATAGATAGATAGATAGATAGATAGATAGATAGATAGATAGATAATGGATGGATAGATGGATAGGTGATAGATAAATAGATGGGTGGATGGATGGATGATAGATTTCAGATATAAGCGATATAAGATAGGCAGACAGATAGATGATGGATAGATGGATAGGTGATGGATGGATGATAGATGACAGGCACAAAACAGATACAAGATAGATAGACTGACAGATACTAAATAGATGATAGATAGAAATACATGATAGATACAATAGAGATAGAATTAGATAGACAGACCAACAGAGATATATAGATACATGATACATACAATATAGAATGAGAGATTATTGAGATATGGTAGATATAGATATAGATACATGATAGATACAATAGAGATAGAATGAGATGATTGATGTTGGAAGGATAGAGATAAAGAGATGGATGGAGAGATGGATGATAGATACAATAGAGATAGAATTAGGTGAGAGAGAGAGAGAGAGATGGATAGATTATATGAAACTCAACTTGGATGAATGTTGACCATTTACTCTGTCTGAACAAGAAGATGGTCAAGTCTGCAATGGAAGATTGTAAAACCCACAAGATATTCTACCATATTAGTCACATGTTTAGGAAGCACTAATAGAGCCGCTAATCAGCTTTGCAAAGTGTCCATAATTCTCCCAGCATAACCCATGCTTTGCCATCCTAAAGACCAACATAATTACAACACAAATTATCATGGCTTTCGATTAGATGCAGTGAATTTTATTTCAAGACCCATCTCCAAGGGAAAGCAGGCCATAGATAAAGAGAGAAGCGAGTAGCAAATAAAATTAAGAGGTCCAGGCATTTATCACCTATAGATCGTGGCCATTCACCCAAGCATGTTATATGCTCAGACATTGTTTAACTAGAGACCTGATTTGCATATACCAGCTGGATTCACACTTCCAGTAATGCACCTCTCTGTTTCATTATAACTTAAGTAAGCTCTGACGCAATCAGCCCTATTATGAATCACTTGGCCCAAACCAGGTCATAATGTGATTTTTTTAAATGCTCTTTAAAAAAACCAACAGCGCTGGGATTAACATGGCTGATGACATGAGCTTCGCTCCTAAATCATATTTCTGCAGATTGCCTCTTCGTTCCATGCAATTGGCATTTTTTCCTGCTGTCTAGAGAAGGTGAAAGATGCCCCGTATCTGGCTCAGAAATGTTTCTTAATGCAACCCCATCCAGAGTTGCAAAGATGCATCGATCCGTGGCAGAATCCCCAAGCTTGACCACTAAAGTTGCTTTTCTTAGTGTCCGCCAAGATTTTCAATCATCCAGGTCCTGATGATCCCAAATGTGCTTTTCCAGGAGGCAACTGGACTTTCTGGTTTTTTCTTTGAAGACATTTTGCTTCTCAACCAAGAAGCTACTTCAGTTCTGATTGAATGGTGGAAAATGGAAGGATTTATATTCCTTGCAGACAGCTGGTCATTTGCATCCTTTTGAAGGGCCGTTGAGGCCACTTGGAGGTTTATCTGTGTCCTTAGGGTCATCTGAGTAGTGCCCCTGGTTCCTGCATTCTGCAATTTTTTTTCCTCTCTGGAAATCCATTCCTACTCCCACACCATTCCAAGGGTCCAAATTGTACAGCTAAAAGTCTGCAAAGATTCTCAGTCATCCAGGTCGTAGTTGTCCCAAAGATGCTTTTTTTCAGGAGGCAACTGGATTTTGTTTTTTCACTGAAGATGTTTCGCTTCTCCTCCAAGAAGCTTCTTCAGCTCTGACCGGATAGTGAGGAATGGAAGGATTTATATTCTAAACTAGCTCGATACCCGTGCTTCGCTACGAAACTATGTGGTCGGGCTTAGGTTTTTTGGAGGAAAATGAGGGGCGGGGTGAATTGCGCCTCTGCCTACCAGCCTCCATTGGTATTTGTCTAGCTAGCATCCTGTCAGTGTGTCAGAGAGTTGAGGGCTGTTTGGAAATTGAAACAGTATTTGCTGTGTGAGCAAGAAGGAGACAGTAAAGGGCCTGGACATGGCTTAGCTCAACTGTCCTGTGATAAAGCTGGTTGCTGCTGTGAAACTGAAGCTGAACCTCCTCTCCTCTGCTTGTGTTTTGCATTTGGAAGAGATTTCCTTCCAGGTGGTGAGGGGGAGTAGAACTCCCTAGCATCAGAGCGTGGTAATAATCATAATATAGGAAATACTCTAAATGCTCTGATGGTCCTTTTGAAAAATCCTTTCTTAGTGAGCCTCTAGAAGCCAAGAGGAACATAAGTGCCAAATTTCAAGTTTGTAGCTTTACAGTTCTGGAGATTTTGTGATGATGCGCGAGGGGCATTTCGCTTTTATATAAATAGATTTTAGAGGGTCATTGAAGCACTTGAAGATTTATCTTCAACGACCCTCCAAAAGGACGCAAACTTCCAGCTGTCTGCCAGCAATATCAATCTTTCCATTCCTCACTATCCTGTCAAGAGCTGAAGAAGCTTGTTGGATGAGAAGCGAAACGTCTTCAAAAGAAAAAAAACAAGGAAATCCAGTTGCCTCCTGAAAAAAAAGGGATCTTTGGGACATCCAGGTTACGGTTGCCTGCAAAGTGGGTTGTTGTCGTTTAAAAATTATTTTTTCCATGGACTTTAGAATAGAATAGAATAGAATAGAATAGAATAGAATAGAATAGAATAGAATAGAATAGAATTCTTTTTTGGCCAAGTATGATTGGACACACAAGGAATTTGTCTTGGTGCAAATGCTCTCAGGGTACATAAAAGGAAAGATACATTCGTCAAGAGTCAAGAATCATCAGGTACAACACTTAATGATAGTCATAGGGTACAAATAAGCAATCAGATCATACTAGGAAACAGTCCATATAAATTGTAAGGATACAAGCGACAAGTTACAGTCATACAGTCACAAGTGGGAGGGGATGGGCGATAAGGAGTGATGAGATGATTAACAGTAATAGTAATGCAGACTTTGTAAATAGTTGGACAGTGTTGAGGGAATTATTTGTTTAGCAGAGTGATGGCGTTTGAGAAAGAACTGTTCTTGTGTCTAGTTGTTCTGGTGTGCAGGGCTCTATAGCGTCGTTTTGAGAGGAGTTAAAACGTTTTATGTCCGGGATGTGATGGGTCTGTAGCTATTTGTGCAGGATACAGGTCTTCCGTGAGAGAGAGGTTGGTAGCAATTGTTTTTTTCTGCAGTCCTAATTATCCTCTGAAGTCTGTGTCTGTCCTGTTGGGTTGCAGAATCAAAGCAGACAATTATGGAGTGAGACAGTTTCTGAATGTTTTCTTTGCAAAGTTGCAAACATTTAGCTTTTAACACCTCCAGAACATTCTATTTCTTTTAAGTTTTGGCTGGCCTCTCAACTATTTCATTCATTCATTCATTCATTTAAAAACCACACTTGGCCAATAAACAGAATCCTACTCTGAGCTGTGATTTAAAACCATCCAGCTTTGGTTGCTTGCAATGCAAGAATTGCAGTCGGATGTGTCCACAGGTGTATGTAGGTAAGGTGGTGGGGGGCTTCTGGGCCTGGGGGCCCCCAAACCGGGACTGAACGGGGTTCTCTGCAGGTGCAATGCACCCTTTTGCAGGCAAATCCACCGACTCGGGGGATCGAGGAGGGCCACCACCCAGCCAAAACTAGCCCGCGGTTGAGTCTGGCCTCCTTCTCTCTCTCTCTCTCTCTCTCAGGCCAGGCCAAACTACAGTTCCCGGCGCTCCCCGCGCGAGGGCGCCCCGAGCCGGAGGAAGTGGAGGAGGCGGAGGCGGAGGAGGACTCCATCTCCCGGCGTGCCCCGCGCACACGCTCGGCTTTCCCGTTGGCTGGCTGGGCTGTGCGGCGGCTTCCTGTCCAGCCCGCCGTCACGTGACAGCGGGGAAAGGCGGGGGGGGCCCTTCGGCGAGGCTGAGGCGGCCGCCGGCGGAGCAGCTGGGTGAGGAGGGGGCGCCTCGGCGGGGGTCCCGGAGAGGAGGCGGGGGACGCCGGGGGTGAGGGGATGGTGGGGTGGGGTGGGGGAGTCCTCTGCTTTGCAAACTGTTTTATAATTGTATATATATATACACACACACACACACACACGTTTATATATGGGGGGAGACAATGATTTTGCACCTGTGCTGGAAAAACAATATACTATATTTATCTCTCTATATATGTAATATCTATCTATCTACTTATCTATCTGCATATATCTATCTCTATAATTATCTATCATCTATCTATCTAATCTGTCTATATTACCTAGTATCTATCCAGCTATCATCTATCATCTGTCTATCACTTATCTATATCTATCTAGCTATCTACATCTTTACTATCTATATCCATTCATCATCCATCTCTCTCTCCCTACCTACCTCTATCTGTCTGTCTGTCTATATCTGTCTGTCTGTCTATTTATCTATCTATCTATCTATCTATCTATCTATATCTATCTATCTCTATAATTATCATCTGTCTGTCATCTGTCTATATCATTATCTAGTATCTATCATCTGTCTATCTATCTATCTATCTATCTATCTATCTATCTATCTATCTATCTATCTATATCTATCTCTATAATTATCATCTGTCTGTCATCTGTCTATATCATTATCTAGTATCTATCATCTGTCTGTCTGTCTGTCTGTCTGTCTATCTATCTATCTATCTATCTATCTATCTATCTATCTATCTATCTATCTATTTATATCATCACCTAGTATCTATCATCTATCACCAATCTGTCATCTATCATCTGTCTATCATCTATCACCAATCTATCACATCTATCTATGTCTATATCTATATCATTATCATCTGTCTATCATCTATCTATCTCATCTATCTATCTCATCTATCATCTATCTATCTGTCTAT